AAAAGCCCCCAAGAGGCCCTCACGAGGCCCCCAAGCGACGCTGAAGAGGCCCCCCAGCGGCCCCAAGAGGCTCAGTCATGCGAAATGGGCCGGCGGAATGAGCGAAGCGATTCAATAATTGTGTCTGTGTTTTTCCTCCTCCTGAAGTCGCCCGATGCGTTCCGCCTCGTCAGGCACCGAGGACGACCGCCACGGTGACTTCCCCCAAGGATCCGACAGTCCCCTTGGCCTCGCCTTCGGATCCTGGAACTGGGTGGGAAAGGGAGCAAGGAAAGCGCTGTGCCGACGAGGGCCCCAGTGGGGCTCGGAACGCGATGGCCAGGTGCACTCTCAATCTCGTGCGTCCAAGGGACGTATAGTTACAGTGCAGGCCGGTCCGACCTAGAATTTCTTCCTGTGAAGCTGCAACGGCCGCGTCAGGTGACAGCGGCAATTTGAATCCGTCCAGAGAAGAAGACAACTTGCCTCTCTCGAGTAGTTTGAACTCTGCTTTTGACCAAGTGCCTAGGGTGCCTATCCCCACGAGGGTGGGTCCTGCCGTCTGTCCTGGCCAGCCTGCTAAACGCAGGAGAACAGATGGCAGAAGTGACAAGCCCGCCATGGCCAACTTTACTGTCCCAGCTGCGTCGATGCCTGTCAGAGGCATAGTGGTGCCAGATACAATAAGAGGACATCGCTGTTGGGCTTCGCCAGCTAATGTGGTTTTGTGTGTGAGTTGCGGCTTCTGCAGCACGGGAGTCGCAAGTCACTTGCTTGTTGACTGCCACCCGCTGGAGAGAGATGTCAGAACGCGCTCTCCGCAAGTGAGTGTTTTCTTATTCGGCGTTGTGACATTGGGCGGAAGGGGGGGGAGGGGGCGGGGTGTGTCTGGCTCTGGGCCTCTGACTGATAACACGGTTTGCAACAGTGCGTCAATTATACTGGGGATACCCCACCTGCTCGAGACAGGCGCCCCAAACAGCCAAGATCTACTCCATTGGGGTGGAGGGGGGAGGGGCGAGGGCCCGCGCCGATCGGCAGAACAATGAATTAGAAAACGATCACCTCTCCAGGGGCTCCCAACTTCGCGCTTCGCGCTGTGCGAAGCGCGAAGTGCGAATAACTTCGCGCTCTCGCGCCGCCTTCCAGGGGAGAAGAGGAGGATGAAGGATTGGAGCCGAACCGCGAAGCGCGAGACGCGAATGACTTCGTGCCCTCGAGGGCGCCCTCGCTCTCCGCAACAGAACGCTGCTGCTCCTCGGGTCGGCACCCCGCCGACGAAGGGAGGTCCGGTGGCCGCTGTTTCCCCGCCCCTCGGCCTCTGGAGGTCTCGGGCCTCGAGGCCTCGTGGCCGAGACTCGAAAGTTCGGAGGAGGAGGAGGAGGATTTGGAGGAGGAGGAGGAGGGGGAGGGGGGGGAGGAGGAGGAGGCCTCGGGCCCCGAGGCCTGGGGCCGCGCGAGCGAAGTTCGAAAGCTGGGCGAGGGCTGCTAAAACCGTGGCTGCTAAAACAGCCCTCCCGGAAAAAAAAACAACAACTTCCCGGAATGGGGCGCGGCACGCGAAACAGTCAGGCTTCTTCCCAGAAGGACGAAGACAACTTGCCGGAGGTCGATTTTAGCAGCCACGGATTTAGCAGCCCTTGCTCGGCTGCCGAGAAGTGTAGGTCGAGCATGTCCTCCTACAGGGGCTTGGAAGAAGCAAAACAATAGTCAAACCTACTCAAACATGATGGACCCACGGACTCGGAAAGGAACATAGAAATGTAAGGCATGGCAGCCTTTCAAAGACACCTGATTGGGCTACGGGCAAATGCAATGCTGAGTGCATCGATCTTGATGTACCGTGCCAGGGCTGTGCTGTGCTGCGCCGTGCTGAATTGCGATGTGCCATGCCGCGAATGTGCTCTATAGCGTTGTGGATCGAGTCCTCCTTTGCATCCGAGTCCTGACCGAAGTGATCCAGATCTTAAGCTGGAGCTGCCTGAGCACAGAATAGCTGCCCCAGAGCTAATTGACAGGGAGACATGCCAAGAGGACGCGCCGCGGAACGTCCCAAGGGACGCGCCAGGCGACGTGCCAGGGGACGTGGCACGGGGACACATCGCGGGACGTGCCAAGGGGACGCGCTACGGGACGTGCCAATGGATGTGCCAAGGGAAAGGCCAGGGGACGCACCGCGTGACTTGCCATGGGGACTCGCCACGGGACGCGCCACGGAACCTGCCAAAGAACGTGCCAAGTTGCAATGCTGAATGTATCGATCTTGATGTACCGCGCCGAGGGCTGTGCTGTGCTGCGCCGTGCTGAACTGCGATGTGCCATGCCGCGATTGTGCTTTATAGCGTTGTGGATCGAGTCCTCCTTTGCATCCGAGACCTGACCGAAGTGACCAGGATCTTAAGCTCAAGCTGTCTGAGCACATAGTAGCTTTCCCCAGAGCTAATCGACAGGGGGACATGCCGAGAGGACGCGCCGCGGAACGAACGTCAAAAAAGACGAAGCAAGCGACGTGCCAAGAGACGTGCCATGGGGACGCACCGCGGGATGTGCCAAGGGGACGCGCTACGGAACGTGCCAATGGACGTGCCACGGGGAATGCCACGGGGCGCGCCGCGCCACGTGCTAAAGGGACTCGCCACGGGACGCGCTACGGAAAATGCCAGGGAACGTGCCAAACTGCAATGCTGAATGTATCGATCTTGATATACCGTGCCGAAGGCTGTGCTGGGACCTCCTGGGGCCTCCTTGGGCGTTCGGAACCCATGTGTGTTTGCGCTTCTCCCGCCCTGGGGCGTTAGGAACCCGCTTGTCCCGCTCTAGGGCGTTAGGAACCCATGCGGTGTCACGCTCCTCCCGCCCTGGGGCGTTGGGAACCCACATGTTTTCACAGTTGTCCCGCCCTGGGGCGTTAGGAACCCATGCGATGTCACGCTGCTCCCGCCCTGGGGCGGTGGGAACCAATGTGTGTTTCACGTTTGTCCCGCCCTACGGCGTTAGAAACCCATGTGTGTTCACGCTTCTCGGGCCTCCTGGGGCGCCCTGGGGTGCGGGGGGAAGCGAAAAACACTCCCCGATTACATATCCAACTACATAACATAGATACAACAAGCATTTGACCTGAGACATACTCTGAATTCTGGTCCCCAGGAGAGGAACAACCTATAGAACACAACACAAACTTTTCGCTCAAACCATCTTCAACCAATTATGCAAAACAAACGTTTCGCTCGGGACATCCTCGAAACCATGTTAGCTACCCCCTGTGTTGCCTGGGCACGTGAAAACACTTGGTGCCAGTTCGGGGCCACCATGTTAGACACCCCCCTGGATGGCCTGGACACATGAAAACACGCGGTTCCAACTCGGGACCACTATATTAGATACCCCGTGGATGACCTGGGCACGCGAAAACACGTGGGTCCAGCTCGGGACCACCATGCTAACGACCCCCGTGGGTGGCCTGGACACGTAAAAATATATGGTTCCAGCGCGGGACCACCATGTTAGATACCCCCCTGGGTGGCCTGGATACGCTGAATTGGCGCTCCCGCTCGAGACATCCTCGCAATATCTTCCCTGGAGAGGCCCCCAAAGCGCCCCCCCCTGTCCAGAACAAGAACACATAACTGTTCTGCATTGGGACCTGTGTTCGGGTAGCGCGTTTCTGCCGCCCCGTGCGTTTTCTTCTGACGATTCGGTGTTCGGCCCGACGCCAAGTTAGATACCCCCCTCGCCGGCCTGGACTCTTAAACACACGTGGTTCCAATTCGGGACAATCATGTTAGATATCCCACTGGGTGGCCTTGGCAAATTAAAACACGTGGTCCTTGCTCGGGACAATCATGTTAGACACCCCCCTGGGTGACCTGGCCTCGAAAAACACATAGTTCCAGCTCGGGACAACCATGTTAGATATCCCCCTGGGTGACCTGTGCCCTCGTGGGGCCTCCTGGATAGGGCTAATCTATAGGAACATGCATAAAAGCACACGGATTCGTGCCGCTGGAGAGGGCCAATCCATGGGAACACTCGTAAAAACATACGGACACGTGCCCCTGACCCAAATGTGTCCCGCACCCCGTGTTTTATCGATCGGAATTCCAAAAACCAGCGTTTCGCTAGGGACATCTACCAATTTTAATTCACCGGCCCTACGCGACCTCATAAGTTATCGCAAATAAATTCGCCGGCCCGTCGCAAATAAAAACCCGGCCCTTGGTTTACCAAAGCCAAAAGAGAACCCTGGGCCTTAGCTCTTTCCGGGAAAACAGTCAAAACAAATAGATTCGTCCCAAGACGATTACTGACTCTGGTTGATTCTTGAATGTTCCCCCTCTAGAGGGACACGCCCGACTTAAAGCTAAGTGCTGAGGTGGGCCGCATCTGTTTGCAAGGCTGTGCAGCGCGTCTCCGTGCTTCGACCTGGCTCATTTCCCTTCCGCTGATCAGATGAGGCCATACGTTTCCTGGCCGATGCCTCGGCCGTGACCCTGGGGGTGGGTCGTGGGCATATTTCGTCAAGTGTGGCCTGCCTGGCAGGCCGTTTATTCTGTGGCGGTCAATGCACTGCGCGGCCGTTCCACAAGAAGCCTTCCGCGAGAAACACAAACCTGAGACCTCAGGACGTCCATTGAGTTTTGGTGTGGGACCGTCACAATCTCCATCGCAAACCCATCGGCACTCAAGAAGCCCAGGGAACCCTGGAGGCAAGCAACGTGTTTCTTGGCATGGGTCTCCACTGTATCCTCCTCGTTCTTCTCCTCCTTCTCCTCCTCGTTTTCCTCCTCCTCCTCCTCCTCCTCCCCCTCCTCCTCCTCTTCCGCTTCCTCCTCCTCCTCTTCCTCCTCCTCCTCCTCTTACCCCTCCCCCTCCTCCTTTTCCTCCTTTTTCTCTTCCTCTTCCTCCTCGTCCTCCTCCGCCTCCTCCTCCGGCGGTGTGGGGGGGCGCGGGGGCGGCAAAGGGCGGCGCGCTCGCGAGGGCAAGGCGGCCCTAAGGCGCAAGGCTACGCGGCGGCGGGCGTCCTTGCCCCAGTCCCCGTTCCAGGTCCGCGGCGCCTCCTGGCGCAGAGGGAAAAAGCGAAACTGGAGGAAGGGCGGGGCAGGAGGAGGAGGAGGAGGAAGAGGAGGGGGAGGAGGAACAGGAGGAGGAGGAGGAGGAGGAGGCAGAGGAGGGGGAGAAGGACGAGCAGGAGGAGGAGGAGGAAGAGGACGGGAAGGGGGAGGAGGAGGAGGAACAGCAGGAGGAGGAGGAGGACGAGAAGGAATAGGATGAGGGGGGGGAGGGGGAACACGACAGAAGGACGACAGAGGGGGAGTGGAGGACGAGGAGGACGGGCGAGGGGGACATGGAATTGCGGGTGGCACTGGTGAAAAGTAGAACGCCTGGCGACAATGGCAAGATGAGACATAGCAAAGCTCATGTCCTCTTCCCTTAAATGCATGGTATACCGCGTGCGCGTTTCAATCCAGACTGGCAACCAGCGCGCACGCGTGCTCCTATCTGAACCAAGGCTACAGGGCAATGGGAAACGCCCCTCTGCAACGCCTCGGCCACTCAGGACGGCCCCCAACGAGGTGCCAAATAATCCACCGTAAGGCTTCAGCAATGGGCGCTCGGCATAACGCACCCGTGGCTCAGGAAGCTTAGCCCGAACGGAATATCGCGAAACCTGGGGAGCCCTGTCCGCGCGTCTGTTGTGAACTCATATGTGGACTGAGCTGACCATGACCAGGGTCACGGATCGTAACAGCACCCCACAGCAGGAAGAGCCTGAGGACTGGCTCCATTGATCGTTGTGGTGTCGACTGACCGATGTTGCCTGTCAGTTGGGAGCACGGCGCTGCTCCTAGGCACCCAGCGCGATCGTGCTCGGCACGCGCTGGAGTCGTAGCACTGATCGCGCCTTCTGGACGTACTGGTTCCCGATTTCTTTGCGCAGCCCCTCGCTGGCACAGATGACCGCCCTCGGCACACCTTCGCGCGGCTGCGCCAGCGATCGCGGCTAGTCGCGCCGTGGCCGGGGCCGTCTTCGCGACTATGTTCACGCGCGCCTGTGGACTTCAGCTGCGCCTGTATTGACGGGCGAGCAGGCGCAGTTCAACCGTTGGTTCGCGGCAAAGCGCCGCGGGTCGCTGGGTCCTGCTGCTGACGACTGTCGGCCTGGCGCGGCCGTCGGCCAAGGGAATGGCGGACTCAAACCCGCCTGCCAATGCGAGCCAGGCTCCGGGATGACGCAGTCCGAACGCAGGGCGTCCGAAGTGTTTTTCTCTGGCCATCGCGCGCGGTCGGAGCGTTGGCGCAGTTGACCAAACGGGTCGATCCCGCGGCGGGAAGGCAGCGGAACACTCCTCGACGCCCAGGCCGACGCACTGGTCAGCGTGGGCGATGCCGCTGTCGCGGCAGACGCCGCAAGCGACGTCGAACAAGCGCTCGCCGCGGATGAGCTCGCATTGGCCCAACTTCCCGGTCATTCCCTTGCCGCCCACGGGGGCGGTCGCGCCCGTCGATCTCCGAACCTAGCAACTCCCCCGACAGACCTAGCAACTCCCGGGTGGCTCGGCAGGCGGTCTGTCGGGAGACTGGGCCCCGCTGCCGCCCCGTCCGTCCGTCTGTTCTGATGCGCCGGGGCTCCGCGGTGACCCTGCGCAGGGGCGACGCGCCCGCGAGCGATAGCGCTGCGCGCGGCGCCGGCGGCTGCGGCGGCGCGCGGTCTTCGTCGACGCGCCCAGGCAGCTGCGGCGCGCGCTTGGGGGCCGCGCAGAGGACCGGGTATTCGACAACTGTCGTCCACAGGGGGCGGCCGCTGGAGGCGCGCGGAGAGCGTTCGGCCTCGTCTGAAGTTTTTTCGGAAAAGCTGGGCGCTCGCTGGGTCAAACGCAGCGGATCTCCCGAACGGAGCCGAAATCGCCGCGATCAGTTTGCGCAGCGGGCCGCAGGCGCACGAACGTTCTCGAAGTGCCAATGCGGGGGGCAGCGCGGCGGCGCGCGCCGGTTCCAAAGGCGACGCCTCCTCGGAGAGTTCTGGCGCCGATGGGCTAGCTGCCTGCGCCGCCGCGCGCGCCCGCGCGACTTGTGATTGCGTTCGGCCGCTCGGCGCTTTGAACATGATCATTGAGGGCGGACACCGCGCGCCGAATGCTGCGGCCCGACGCGCCGCTGCCGTCGCGCGCCGCGCGAGGGGCCAGTCCGCCGAAGAAATCTGGCGCGCTTGAAATGATTCGGCCCTGTGCCTGGCGACCAGCGCCAGAGAGGCGGGCGCTGCAAAGCCGATTGCAACGACGACGCGGGGGCCGCGCCCACTCTCGAAGCACTCCGTCAACGCGCCGCCGGGCACGAACGAAGCCCCGGCGAGCGTCGCACAGCGAGCGGGCGCGTCGAGGCAGATGCAGCGCGCTGCGCTCCTGTTGCGCCACAAACTCTAGGCGCCCATCACGCGGGAGCTCCGCGCTCTGATCAGGCCCTCGACGCGCGGGGGAACGGGGATATTGCGCTGCCGCGCTAGCGCCCACGCGCCATCGACTTCGCGTCGGCGGGCTCGACCGTGGAAGTCGGGCCTGCCGCAGTGCGTGGGCACGGTCGTGCGCGAACGCGCCCATCTCGTCGTCATCGCTGCTGGCGCTGGGACAGACGTCGTTGGCGACCTCGTGGAGCGACTGCACGTTTGTGCCCACAATTGGGCTGCAGTCAGTCCCTGCGGCCGCGCGCGCAAGCTGCGGGCGCTGGCCGCGGCCAGATTGCAGGCGGTCGTCGCGGAGGAAATGCGCGCGCTGAAACACGCGAGCGTGCTCCGTCGGGTCGCCGGCGCGGCGGCTCCCGCGCGACATAGCGACGTCAACCTGGCCGGGCCTCTGCAAAACGCAGCGGATGTCGCGCCGATTGGCACTGCCGCGATGGGATGTCGAAAGCGAGCAAGCCGACGCCCCCGCCCCCGGCGGCGGGCGCGGGAGGCGCAATCGATGCGCCCATCTGCCAGGCAGCTGACGGCACGGGCGTCGCTCGCGGCGCAGGCAGGCAGGCCCCCATGCCGCGAACCAGATGCTGCGCCCGCGCGCGTCTGCGCGCAGCTTGGCCGATGCCGCGGGAGCGGCGCGCGCGCTCGTTAGCTGGCGCGCTCGCGCTCGCGCGGGCGTTGATGTTCACATCTCCAATCGAGTGTTCGGAATCTGACTTGCAATGCACCTCGGGGCGCCGTTCCTCGCCGAGGTCCGCCGCGTTCTGTCGGGGCCTGCGCAAGGGCCGCAGGCGAGAGTCTGGGGGGGCAGGGGCTTGTCGTAGTGGTCTGCTGCTCGCGCTGCTGTCCATGTCCGTGAACCCGCCACGCGCTGACGCGCGCCTCTGAGGCGTTCGGCACCCCGCCCTGCGCTGCGCGGTTCACGGGTCGGGCGCTGCGCGCCGTTGCGGGAGGCCGCTGCGCAGAATGCGCGCAGATCGCGGCAGCTGGCGAGGAGCGCGGTGGACGGGCACGCGGTTCGCGCCAGAGTGCAGCGGGATAGTCGTCTGCGCCAGCGCGAACGACGCATATATTCGGGAGTGGCCGCAGGCGGATCTCGCGCGCTGGGCCCCGTCCTAGGTTGCGGCTCCAAGCATCCGGCGTTGTGCCCTGGTGGTCGGTTTGCGCTGGCCCGGAGACTGCCCTCTCAGTCTCAGTTCCGCGCAGACCTGCGTCAGGCTCGTGCCGACCTTATGCCAGTGGCAACTGTCCTCTCAAGCTCGCGCCAGGGGCAAACATCCCCGCGCCCCCGCTGCGCGCGTCGGCCCGCGTCCGCCAGGCGCGAAAGCTGCAGCGCATCGCGCGCGGCTGCGTCGCCGCGCCCGCGCGGCAAGCCTGGGCGAGAAAAATCGGCAGTCGTCACTGGCCGGCGCGCTGCAGCCCTGTCACCTGCAGGTTGGGCCCCAGACGGCCTGCGAGCAAAGGCGCCGAAAAGCTCCGGCGACTGATGGCCATCGCTGGGCCTCCGCGGCGATGCCCGCTGAGATGGAGGGGCCCCCCCACGGGCGCCAGGGCCGGCGCGGCCTTGCGCGCGCGGCCTTGAAGTTCGCAAGAATTGCACGGATCTTGCTGCTGCTCAGGCTGGCCGCGTCCGCCTGAACAGGTGCGCGCAAAATGTCCGAGCGCCCTGCGATGCCCTGGCTGTCTCCTTGGATTGGCATGGCGCGTAGTGCTTGGATGTGGGCCAACTGTCGGTGGATGTCATGTGCCTGTTCAAGGCGCGGGTCGAGGCCTGTCGTCGGGGCCAAGTAGCTCGTCTGGCGCGCTGACCCTACCATCGTCGCGCGGGGCGCGTCGCGCCTGCGTCGCCCGCGGGCTGGTCGCCGAAGAGGCAGGCCGCCCTCGCGCAGGGGCGCGTCGCCTCCGCAAAGGGCATTTTGGTTTAGCGAAAGCGTCGCGAGCTTGGCGGGCGCTCGCGAGGCGGCTGGCGCGCGCGCCGCCGGCTCGACGGCCGCCGCAGAGGCATGTCGCATCGAGGGGCAAGGTAATCGCCCTCGAAAGGTGCCCCCGTTGACGAGTGGGTCGCCAGCTCGGCGAGCAGCCGCCGGGCTGAACGCCCAGCGACAAAGGCTTGACGAGTGGGCCGCAAGCCCGCTGCGAGCCGAGCGGCAGTGGAGACGTCGAAGCCCCCAGAGCACGCGGCGCGAAAACCAACGAACAACAAGCAGCCTACAAACTCGCGGGTCGCGCCGTGGACCGACCGAAACAAACTGCAGAAGAGGCCGCGACTTGCGTCTGTGAGCGCATGAAAAACAAACCCCGCCCCACACATGATGAACTTAAGGCCAATGGGGCCGTCAAACGACGAGCGAACTGCAAGCGGAAACTGCTCGACGGTCAGCCAACGACAACGCTGCGCATTTCAATGCGAACGGTGCGCTGCTACTATGCTCGGTGGCGTTTGAACTTGGCGTTTCCTTGCGCTGGCACGCGGTCGCTGCCCGGAATCATTGCGGACGTTCGCGCGCTCGTGCCGAAGCAAAAACAAATGAATGGGCGCGTCGGCCCTTGGCGGCGCTGACAGGAGCCCCAGGCGGCGCCCGCGGCCCGCCCCGCGCGGTCGCCCAT